CTTTTTTTCTCTCTCTCAACTTGTGGTGATATTTTAAACTTCCTATTAGGTGTAGTTCTAAGTAAAGACAAATTAAAAGTTTAAAGTATTAGTCTGCATTTTAGGATTTATCTTGATATTTTGCAATTCCAGTTTTCGATATAAATAGAAGCATTTAACTGGTGTGCTGAATCACCAGAATGGTAGAATTTGCATTTTGTAGTTCAGGTATGCATCCATATTTAATTCACATCCATGTAAAGGCTCAAAAAAACAGACTTTGCAGTTTTTATTTCACCTCTTGGAATGTGCACCTTCTACCAGCTCTTTCTGCTTTGGCTCATGGGTGCAGGCAAAGAAAAGCAGAGAAAAGCAGCTCTCTGTTCTCGCCCTTCCCCTTGCTGATATCATTTTCAGCAAGGATACGACAGGGTTCCCGACGATCCTGCTCTCCTAACACCGCTGCCATCTTCTCACACGCCAAACAATTGTGGTTCAAAGTGAAAGCACGGCCCATGAGGCTGCCAGCTTCCCACTCAGGCGACGAGGTCCCATGCCCACCTGTTCTGGCTCAGAGTCCTGAGTGTCATGGCCCATCCTATGCTCCTGGGGCATCCTGAGTGTTGTGTCAAAGTGGGGCAGCAGGACCCAGTGGGCACGCACACTGCCCATCTCTTCTCTTGACGTGCTCCATTGTCCCCTAAGACTTCGTTCACAAACTCAAGGTCAAAGGTAAAATTATGGTCAGGCATGGGGGTGCACACCTGTAATCCCAGCAGCTCAGGAGGCTGAGGCAGGAGGACCATGAGTTCAAAGCCAGTCTCAGCAACCTAGTGAGACCCTAAGCAACTCAAGCAAGACCATGTCTCAAAATATTTTTTTAAAAAAAAGGGCTGGGGATGTGACTCAGTGGTTAAGCACCTCTGGGTTCAATCCCTGGTACCAAAAAATAAATAAATAAAATATAAAACTATGAAGAATTTCAAAACCAGCAACAGAGATTGAAAGCAACTCAGAACCCTTCTGAGCCCTTCTGAGTTGTGCAGCTCTCGGGTCACATGCCCATGAAGCTGGCCCTGCCCCAGGGGCTTCCACTCCTGCCACACTGGACCCTGCAGTCTCTGGGACTGCAGCAAAATGCCTTCCTGCCGGAGGTTCCTAAGCCCAGCTCCCTGGGGCCAGAGCCCCTCCCACTTCCTCTTCCAGTGGTCTCAGCCTGGCCCTCACATCCTTCAGCAACTGGGGTGTCCCTCCTGACCAGGCCAGGGCTCCTAACAGCCAACACCGCTCTCTCTCACCACACGGGTCCCGACCATCAATGTCCCTTTAGGTAGGTGGCTATTTCAGAGCCTGTTTTCCTCCCCCACTGGGCTTGCCAGAAGCTTGTGGGCCAGGGCTGGCTCTGGTTCTGTTCATCACTGCTTCACGGGTGCCTGGCACATAGTTCCTAATAAATATTGATTAAGTGTGTTAGTAGGTTTTTGTCACTGTGACAAATACCTGAGGAAAACAACTTAAGAGGAGGAAAGGTTTATCTTGGCTCAAGGTTTCAGAGGATCCAATCCATGGTCTACTGGCTCCATGGCTTTGGGCTTGAGCAGAGGCAAAACATCATGGCGGAAGGGTGTGGAGTCAGAAAGCTGTCAGCTTATGGCAGCCAGGAACCAGAGAGGGAGAGAGACAAGAGAGAGAGAGGGAGAAGGCTGGGAGGGAAAGGACCAGAGGTACTACCCTGTCAGGGCACACCTATAGTGACCTTCTGCCTCCTGCCATGCTATCACCTGTGGTTTCTACCACCTCCCATGAGTCCATTTTGGCTCTCAGTGGGTTCATCCACTGATGAGGTCAGAGCCCTGGGGATCGAGCACTTCCCCAAAGCCCACCTCTGGATGTTACTGCATTGGAGACCAAGCCTTCGACACATGACCTTTGGGGGACATTCAGGATCCAAACCTTAACATTAAGCAAACGAATGATTTAACAACTGAAGGCTTTTGCAAAAGGCGCACAGAGTCAGAAGAAGAGGCTAAATAAACCAGGGTAACTTGAATTCTAGATTTTTTGTTCAAAAGGGATGAAATCTTATTTCAGTCTGAGCTGGGGACAGCTAAGCCACTATTGCATGGCCTTACCTACCTGTCTGTAGGTAAGGAATGCTTGGGAATATTTTAAGGTACCTGTGTCATTTGTCTTCAAGTCTCCAGGGCCTGGGACTTAGTTATCTCTCAGGAGGAAAAAAAGTTCTATCGGCGTGTACTGAGGCTAAGCTCGATGGAAATATGTGACCCTGAAGTTTATGTGCCCTTGTGTTGTATCTCCTCTGCCATCTCCTCTTTCTCCTCTCCCGCCCTGTTCCCCTTTCTCTTGTTAAGGATTGCTGAGTCTTGAGAACTACTTTGGTTGTGATCAGATGTTTTCAACAGAAAAATTACTCTCATCTATTTTTGGTTTAACTTGGCTCTTGAAAGAGAAATGGTCTGATTAGCCTTATAATCATGGTGGTGCTGGTTGGACACTCCAGAGAATGCCCTAGAACAAGTCTGGGTACACGGGTAACATTTTCACATTGGCATTGATCTTGGGATAGAATCACAAGGCAGGCATTTTAGAGGTTCATCCGTTCAACTCCAGCAAACTCAGAGCAGAAATTAAACTTGAGATCAGATGAAACCTATTATCCCGCCCTGAAGATGGCAGAACTAGACTCTTCAAAATACCCAGTGCTCCTGAGCCTGAGCCGTGGCAGCGAATGGAACCAGTGCTCTTGCAAGGACCTGGTCCATGACCTGTCTCTCTTGTCCATGATTCTACAACTGTATTTAAGAAATAGCCAGGAGGGGAGGTAGTAAAAATAGGTATTAGTAATGAAATGGAAGGTTGAAGAAATAATAATAATAAAAAAATAAAGCCTAAAGGTAAGATTGATATTGATTGAACATCTTAGAAATCTTAGAAAACATTGTTAGTAAGAGATAAGGGCACCCCTCCTGTATGTAAAAACAGGGGATTTCTTTCCTGAGCAAGGCTTAAATAGGAATGCAGAATGTTCCTAGAAACATCCCCCAGGAGTCCACTTAGAGGTTATGGGGCTGTTTGGATATTCTATGTGGTGCACATATCCAAAGCACAGCCACACCTTAGCCCTATGACCTTGGCCAAGTAACTAACCTTCCTGAGCCTCTTCCTCCTCCTTCTAATTTGCATAAGTTTGTGTAAAACACCTGCCTGGCTGGTTTGTTATGAAAGTCAAATGAGATAATGTAGATAGATGTACAAATCTCATTGGTTGAAGCAGGCAAGCAATCACGTTACCCCCTTGCCTCTGCTTCAGTGTTTATAAACAGCTGTGCCAGCCTGGACTAGGGAGAGATAAGCAGGTGCCTGGGTCACACCAGGGAAGGCCTCCTGGTGTATCCTGGGTACTTTCTGTCTCTCTCTGGTCCAGGAAGTGTAACTGGGTCAATGTCAGACCAAGGACATAGCATCTCAAGAGCAGATCCCTCTTCTCCAACACCATCTCCTGGACCATCTTACAGGTGAGCCAGATGAGACCCAGAGAAGCAATGTGATCTGACTTATGCCTACCAGTTAGCAAGTGGTGAACCTGGAATTTGAATCCAGTTCTCTCAACTCTGGGCCTGTTTTACTCCCCAGTAGCCTCTGTCCTGCCCACATAATGCTCACATGCCCCTTTGCTCTAAGAATGGTCTCTGTTTATACATGTGTGCACATCATTTCTCTAAAAAGCCCACGAGTGCTCTCAGCTCTGGAGGAGAATGTGTCTTGAATATTCAGCATATTGCAAGGCATTAGCTACAGGGCTTGCTTGCTCGTTGGGGTTCAAGGCATAAATAACCACCAATGGAGAAAAAAGAGATATCCTCATGTCCTTCGAGTTTTAATGTAGAGAAACAGTTATGAGAAACATTAACACAGCTGAAGGGGTGAGATGCATTAATTTCACAACGTGTTTTGCTCTTTAAGAAGTTAGCTCTTTGGGCTCCATGGGGAATCTTGAACTCACATAGACGCACCCCACTGTTTGAAAAGAGGAAATAGCCATTCCAAGTGGCTCCGAGTCTCCACTGGGAAGGGTGGGTGGAAACACATAATGGAGAGGTGGGGAGGCGAGAATCTGACTGCAGCAATGTGGGGTGTTTAAACCGGGAATAAAAAGAAGAGAAGAACAACACTGCTCAGAGTTCAGTGAGCAAATGGATCAATGGATCCAGATAAAACACAGATTCTGGTTCAGGTCTGGGTGGGACTCGGGATTCTGTAATTCTGTAATTCTTTTTTTTTTTTTTTTTTTTTGTTGCTTGGGATGAACCCCAGGGTGCTTTACCTCTTGAGTCACATCCCCAGCCCTTGTTATTTTTTATTTTGAGACAAGTTCTCACTAAGTTGCTTAGGACCTTGCTAAGTTGCTGAGGCTGGCCTTCAACTTGCCATCCTCCTGCCTCAGCCTCCTGAGTCACTGCTCACAGGCGTGCCTGAATTCTGTATTTCTAATAAGCTCCACACAGTGCTGCTGCTTCTGGTTCATGCACCACACTTTCAAGCACGGAGGGTGTTGTCATGGGGCCAAAGATTGAGAGAAATGGTGGTGTTTTATTCCTTTCCTCTACAGTCAGTGTGTCTTTTGACTGTGGGTGAGTTCCTTAATGCCAGATAGGACTAAAGGCAAGTGGGAAACCTTCTGGGGAAATCAGCCAACTTCCCAGCACAATGACCATTTTTTATTATTATTATTATTATTATTATTATTATTATTATCATCATCATCATATAAGAGTTCACCTGTTAGATGATGTTTCCTTGCATGAAACATTTTCATTTTACTCTCCCTGAAATAAACACGTGGCTCTGGATCCCTGGAGACCAGTCATCCTGGTTGGAGAATCCTATGTGGGAGTCAATGGCATCCATGTTTTGGGTTAGTGGATCTGGTCCAGCAGAGGCTCTGTCTGCAGTCTGGCCGTTCCCAGAATGCCTACTCACCTTCTGGTCTCCTCCCACAGGGGAAATCTGTGCATTCAAGATCCATGGCCAGGAGCTGCCCTTTGAGGCCGTGGTGCTCAACAAGACATCTGGGGAGGGCCGCCTCCGAGCCAAGAGCCCCATTGACTGTGAGCTGCAGAAGGAGTACACGTTCATCATCCAGGCCTACGACTGCGGTGCCGGGCCCCGGGAGACGGCCTGGAAGAAGTCACACAAGTGAGTGGCACCACGTCCCGCCCTGTCCCTCTGGCCTCCATTCACTCGGTTCAGGGCCTGCTCCTTAGATCTGCTTATACACGTAGCACCGGGGCCCTGCCCTGCTCATCTGCTCTGCAGTCCCCCAGCCCCTGCAGGCATTTGCACAAGCTGCTTCCTGGTCCAGGGCCACTCTACCTGCTCTCCTCCATTGGAAGTTATGCCTAGGCCACCTTCAGGATGGAGCTCAGAGTCACTTCTTCCAGAAAGTGGTCCCCAAGGCAGCTCCTGCCTGCAGAACTGGTCAGGGCTTTTCTCTGGGTTTCTGCAGTGCACAGTCCTCTCCCATCCTGGGGGCTCCTCTGTTCTCTCCCTTATGGATTTTGGCTCCGAGTAAGAGAGGTCCAGTCGGTACTGCCCGGGGGAGTGAAGGAATGGATGAAAGAGGCAGAGAAAGTGGAGAAGAGGAAGAGGAAGCCCTTTGGCTGCAATTGGGTAACAGAGAAGGACAAAGAACAGCGAGGAGTCTGGGGTGTTTTCATCAAGGTGAGGACAGATAGAGGGTCCCCTGGGGGAGGACAGAAGACTCAGCCGTGAATGGCCGCCTTGCTTCTGTTGCTCTGTCCACTTTGGCTTCTGCTGAGTCAGTGCCCCCAGGGAGGGACGGGAGGACGGTGTGATTCTCTCTGACCACCAGCCCTTTTTCCCAATGTGCCGTCCAGGGCCGTGGTCCATATCCAGGTGAAGGACGTCAACGAGTTTGCTCCCACCTTCAAAGAGCCAGCCTACAAGGCCATCGTGACGGAGGGCAAGATCTATGACAGCATCCTGCAGGTGGAGGCCATCGACGAGGACTGCTCCCCCCAGTACAGCCAGATCTGCAACTACGAAATTGTCACGACAGATGTGCCTTTTGCCATTGACAGAAATGGTGAGTGTCCTGGGACGACCCCCGTAGCGTCAGGAAAACAAATCCACCATCCCCACTCTGCAGGTCAGCGGGACCCTGAATATATACCTGGCACTGATGCTTCCCCTGAGATCCTCCATGTAGGTTTTGTGACCCAGAACTCAGGCCTGAACTCAAAGAAATGAGCCTTATACAAACTGCAGTCCTTCCAAGGGGAGAATAAACCCTTAGAAACCTCAGAAACCTGCTCACTGAATAGTCTGTAGAACTCAGTGTCACATATGGACACTGAAGAGGGTCAGTTTCCTGGTAGAATTTTCCAATCATCACTCAGATGTCAGATGTGCCACCAGGTGGCCATGAGGTTCCTATTTGACAAGTTGTGACCTGATTCCCCCACCACAACCTGCTCCTTGTAAAAGAGAAACTGGGGATTTGAACCACCTCCCAAGCCAGAGATCCATTCCAGATTCCTTAAAGCTCTTGCCAGTATCTGTTTTGAGAAATTCAACCCCAATGGGAACTTCAATCCCAGACTGAACTGAACTGAAAACATTCCCATAAAGACATTTGGATATTTCTCCATAATCATTAATACGAAACTCATGGTAATGCAAACAACACAGCCAGACGCCTAATCAACTCAGCCCACTTTGGCTATGATTTTCAATACTTTGATTATAATCAAAGAGGAATATTTGACAAGTGTATTATTTAATTATTGGCGTGAATGTGTGAGTGTCTGCATATTATCTCTGTTTCAAATAGCACTTATGTACCACACAAAGATGCAGAAGTTGCAAGATCTGACCTTCACACACTCTATTTGCTTACTGACTTCTAGGAATGGTGCCGGACACTTGGAATAAAGACAGAGAGGAACTTGAAACAGAGGAGAAAAACATGAAGCAGTTGTTTTATATTTTGGTGTGCGTGTGTGTGTAGGGGGGACAGGCCACAGGGAGTAGTTCTAACAAGCTCCACTAATTAAACCTTTCTTCTTAGTCTTGCACCAAGTATTTCTTCCTTTATTTCCTTATGCACTGATCTTGTGTCCTGGACTATTAGGCCTGACCACAGGGAGCTTACCATCTAGTGAAAAAAACAAAAAAAAACCCTGGAAATTGGGGGCATCAAGGCTGAAATTCATGCACAAACCCTGCCATGAACCAGAGTTGGGTAAAAAACTTAGCCATGCTTCTCTTGGTTACCAATGTCTAGAGAGGAATGCCATCAGTCACCTGCTTACAAGTCTCAACATCAAGGCCTGGGAGAAACTCACTGTCAGGCAGAACCTGCCACCTGAGAACCAGAGCAGATTCCACAGGAGATGTCAGCTGTATTACGCTTTGGGTTGCTGTGACCAAAGCCTGGTAAGAATAATTTTAGAGGAGGAAAAGTTTATTTGGCACCCACGGTTTCAGAGGTCTCGGTTCAGAGTGGGTTGATGCCATTGGTCTTGGCCAAAGGTGAGGCAGAACACCATGATAGAAGAGTGTGAGGAGGTAGGCAGCTCAGGAGGTGACATCATCAAATCTTGCATTGTCTCACTCATGGGGGACACCTAATATCTAAACCATAACGGAAGCCAAGAAGATGCCCTCATTTCTAACCTTCCTCCCCTGAGAAATCTCAGCAGAGACAATCCATGCCTCTTTGTGGGGTTGTGAGGCTTCATTGGATTATTTCAGTTGATGATGATTTGTCTTGGAAGACAAAATAATATTCAGAAGACAAAAAAAAATGGTATTGAGATAGCTTCCTTACAAAAGGCTAAAAGTCACAGGAGTGACAGCTGCACATCTGGACATCACCAGATGCTAATGGTCCAGGGCACAAGATCAGTGCATAAGGAATTAAAGGAGGAAATAGTTGGTGAAGGACTAAGAAGAAAGGTTTAATTAGTAGAGCTTGTTAGAACTGCTCCCTGTGGCCTGTCCCCACCACACACACACACATGCCCACCAAAATATAAAACAACCACTTCGTGTTTTTCTCCTCTGGGCTTCTGTCCCCTGGGATCACTTGTGCTGTCTCTCCCTGTGAAAGCTTGGGAATCTGGGGAGTGAGAGATCGATGGTGAAGAGCAAGATCAGACAAGAGCAGGTATCTGTGAGCAGTGGTCAAGCTCCACTTGGCCTCCTGCCCCTGTTCTGGAGAGCCAGAGCCCAATGAGAGATGAGATGCAAATTCTTTCATCTGAGGGTAAACTGTCCCAGTCCTGAAGATAATTACTCACCTTGATGAGCCATTTTGCTAACATATGCCAATTTATTTCCCTGGCTGTCTCATTAAAAGCGAGTAATGGGCCTTTGCCAGGCCTCTGCCTCCAACTTTGGTTTACCGCATAAGATAAAGGGGAGAGGGTGGGCACTCCCGGGGAGCATGGGCCCCCGACATTGAGGTTTACAAAAGCAGCTTTCCAAGTAATGAAGGTAGGACCTCGGGGCAGACACAGAAGCAGCATGCCTTCTAATGAGCTTCCCAGTTGGCCCTTCTCCGTCTCTTCCTTGGATGACCTTTCTGGGCTCCTTGAAGAAGTTCTTTGCTTCCACGCATATCAGGGAAAGTGCTGTTGAATTTCGGGTCTTCTCATTGAGTCCTAGACTTTCCACACCCTTTACCCCCTGGCTTCAGGTGGATGAATGCTGATCCCTTCAACCTGCCAGGCTCTTAGCTTTAGTGGAAAACAAGGGAGGCAGGGCAGCAAGAAAGACAGAAGATCCTATGTGGAGTCAGCCTGACCTGTCCATAACTGGAGACTCAGCCCCTTCCAACTAGAGGCCCTCAGCCTCCCTCCCTTTGAATTCCTCCCCTGAGAAATCTCAGCAGAGACAATCCCTGCCTCTTTGTGGGGGTTGTGAGGCTTCAAATAGAGGCAGTCGATGGGGATAATGTTTGCAGGGTCCTTGCTATAAATTGAGTGCTCAATCATGGCGCCATGATTATTATATGTCTTCCTGCATGATTGGGATGTGAGATTTATTCTCTCCCCATGGATTTCTGGACCGAGATTACAAACATGTAACTGAGTTGAGATATTGTCACAGTCTTGAAAGATTCTGGATTCATTTCAGATGGCATACAGGTCCCCATTGGTTGGCACTTGGCCAGTCTCTCTGAGATAGGCAGAGCCTGGATCCCTATTTCCATTGGACAAATGGAAAACCTGAGTCCTAGAGTGTGAAGAACTCTAGCTAATACCTCTTCACACTGGTAGCAGGGTTGGGGCTGGAACCCAAGTCCCCTGAGTGTTTGTCCCCAGGCCTTCTCACAAAATTACTGACCCTCAGTGATAATGCACAGTACTGTGTGGTGGTAGTGGTGTTTAAGTTCATAAACACAAAGTGTGGAATGAGGTCAGCAAGATGGCAGACTAGGATACCCCAGCTTCATTCCCTCCACAAAGAATGAGTGGGACAACTATCCGTAAATAACAATAGTTCTCAGGAGTCCAATGAAGAAGTAAAGCAACACACTAGGAAAAAAATGAGAATAACTACACTCCCCAAAATGGATAGGCACAACAGTTTTATTTTACCTGTATCATCCCATCCCCCAGGCCATTAAGCTGAAGCATGGAGAGGGAACTTCCCAGGTCATGAATTCCTCTCACAGAGCAAAGGGGGATAGGTGAACAACCAGCTTCCCCAACCTTTCAGGACCCTCCCCAAATGACCCACTTTAGTGCCACACTAATCACTGGGTAGAGCAGCATGGCTTTGCTGTCTGGAGATAGCTAGAAACAAATTATTTGGGCAAGAGCTATCGCAATCAGCAAGGTGGCAGGAGCCATCATGGCCCTGGTGGCCTGCTTTATGTAGGAGCCCAGTAGCCTTCCCTGTTATCACCTCAAAAGTTCTGTAGCCACCTCTCACCCCCTATAGCTTTCCTTGCCAAGGACCTCATGGTGTTTGCCACTGTGGACCTCAGCAGTCTGCTCTGCAGAGGTAGTTTTTGCCACGAAGGCAAACAGCAACCAGCAGAACTGCAGCAGATACTCTCTGCTTCCGCCACCAAGGACCCAGAGTTTTTCACTTTTGCAATTTCCAGTTGCTTAAGCCACCACCTCTTTCCTTCCTCTCTCAGAGTTATCTCTGCTGCTGCTGCCGCTACCATGAGAACCCAACCCAGACAACAGCATAGCTACTGGGTGTGTCCAAAAATGGCCTGTGTCCCCACGGCAGACACAGACCTCACCACCATATTTGCTGCACCTATGTCTGATCCCTTAGCCATGTGCCTGCAAGCAGCTAGCCTCAGCTCTTATTGCTGTGTCTCACAGCTAAGCATGTGCCTGCAGGTGGCCTATGCAGCCATGTGCTTGCTTGCCACTTGTCCTGGTCCCTGTGGCTGTACACATGTAAGCAACCTGCCCTCTCATCACCTGCCCCCACCACCATGCATACATACACAGCTGGCCACTGCAGTAATGCATATGCCCACTGTTAGCTCTGCTTGCTGCAGATATACATCTTCATGGAGCCACCATTCCCTATCATGGACACCCGTTGGCTGTTGTGCCTGCAGCTGGTCCTAGCAGCTACACACATGCACACAAGACCCATCACTCCATCATGTGCCATTAACACGACGTTTGTTGCATGAAACAAATGTGATACATGAAATCTTATGCATCCACACTGCCAGTTGGAGTCTGCAGTTGTGCACATAGCAACTGGCCTAATCCCCGTTGCTGGTACCCACCACCAGTGGTTGCCTGAAGCTGGTCCCTACACCTTCACATGTGCACTTCCAGCCTTAACTCCTGTACCTTTGCACATGTACACTACCAGTACTCATATGCCCACAATTAGCCCTGCTCAAGCCTTGCCAACATGCACATACCTGCACCCAGATACACACACACCACTGACCTCATAGTCACACCCCTCTACACACACACACACACACACACACATACACACACACAGTAGTAATCCCTTGACACTCTAGCCAGGGTCACTATTGAGAATATCAATAGCCCTCTCAGTCATCATAGACCTCCCATGGCCCTTGAC